GGAGGGGATCCGCCATCGGGAACCGTCACCGCCTGGAGCCGCGCCACCACCGTCGGGAGGGAGGGAGGGAGGGGAGGGAAGTCGCGCCCGGGAAGGAAGCCGCCACCGCCTGGAGCCGTCGCCGCCTCCACCAGATCTGGGAGTAAGCCGCCGCCTCCTCCACCCTCTGCGCCGTCACCGCCCTTCCCTCTACCCCTTCCTGCCAGTTCTTGGAGGAGGGAGGAGAATCGCCGCCGCCACCACCCTCCCCCCTCCCGGCGGAGCCGCCGCCACCTCCACCCTCCGTGCCAACGCTGCCTCCACCGTATTTGGGAGGGAGCTGCCGCCTCCTCTACCCTCCGCGCCACCACCACCGCCCTCCCCTCTCCCTCCTCATGCCAGATATGGGAGGGAGGGAGGGGAACCGCCGCCACCACCGCCCTCCCCCTCCTAGCGGGAGCCGCCGTCGCCTCCTTCACCCTCCGCGCTGCCACCGCCCTGCGGTCGGATCCCGCGCCGGGAGAGGAGAGGTGAGGTGTGAGGGGAGGGGAGGGAGAGGTGGAAGGGCGAAGTGCTCGGACTTAGTATTTTGATGGATAGGTGGTGTTTTTAACATGTTTAACCTTTTTGCAGGTGGACCTTTTAAGGTACCACCTACGAAAATCTATTTTCGTGGATGGACCACTTAAGAGGTCCGTCTGTAAAAATAGATTTTCGCAGGCGGATAACGATCTCGCTCCACGGTTGTCATTTTTACAGGCGGCTATTTAGCTCCGAGAGCCGAGAGCTCGTTGTGATCGTCGATCGTTTCCGTACTTCCAGATGTTGGCTCCTCAGATTTCTTCTTTAATTGTTCCATGCTTTACAAAGAATGGCATTTTTTCATGCTCTCCCCAACACGTACGTAAATTTGATAATACCTCAACCCAAGAGGCTAGAGCTGATTTGAGGATGATCCATTTAAGGCCGATATGCTCGCCGTCTTACTTTTCGTCCTTTGTTTAATTAGTGCAGTGGAAAGTATCGTTCATTTTATATTAAGAATTTTAGAAACATTTCAACAACGGAGGTCTTTTGCAGGTCTAATGATTTCAAAGACTTAATCTAAATGAAATACTAAATTGAACCAACTGGCATTCTTGAATCCTAAGAAGTGCCTCCAGGCCCGTTTGACACTCACGTCGGATTAAGTCTAAATACTAAATTAAGGCAATTTAAATATTTATATTTGTGAAGTGAGCGTAGCTTAACTGGTTAGATTCCTTGTGATGGAACCAATCCAGCCGAGTTCAAGTACAGACTTGACATGGATTCTCGTATTTACGATAAATTATTCTTACGTCAATGGCGAGGTGCCCTCTCCGATTCATGTATTTTAAAGGAACCCTTAGAGCAAGTACTATAAGGCCATCTCCAACCCTCCATGTCATCTAGTGCCTATATTATTTAATACATTATCACATAAGTAAAAATCTGATGTGGCAAGGGAGTTAATGAGGTGAGAGGTAAAAAGATAATGAAACCATTTCTCATGCAAGAAACCATTTATACACAAGAACCAAGAATGAAAACAAGGAGATAGATGGATAAAAGAAAAGAAAATAGAAGTGATTGAATGAGAATTTAATTTGAAGACACCATCAATTATTAGATATATAGTTTATGTACATAGTGTCTATATGACATGGCAAGTATGGAACTAATTGGTAGTTTCTGGGTTAGTGATGGCCTAAGTACTTAAGCGCTTGCCTCTAGATGCCATATAGACTCATTTACTAATGTGGAAGATAAAAGAGAGGAGTGAGTGAATGAGCCACCCCTCATACAAGTGGTAATCTCTACACAAACTTCAATAAAATGTGATTATATTTATTAGAGTTATAGGAGTTTGGGTGTTAGAGACAAAATATTTTATACGTTTCCTCTTGATTTATAGAGAGATGATATAGATAAAATTAGAGGTGACAACCACCTCTACTGTAAAACTACTCATGGAGTTGAAAGAAAGTTGTCCCACACATTGACGAGTGCCAGCTCATCTAGACTTGTTTAAAATTGTTGAAGATAAAGAATAAATTAGTGCACATAAAACGAGAAAACCATTAGCACATATGATTAATTAAGTTTTAATTATTATAAACTTGATAAATGGATGTATTTGATATTTTAAATCAACTTCTATGTAGAAAGTTTTCGCACGAAACACACCGTTTAATAGTTTGAAAAGCGTGCTAACAGAGAAACGGAGGTAAAATCTTAATCTTAATGTCAAAAAGAATACTAGTGCACGCTACATGACAATAATCAGATCAAGCTACATGGATTGCATAGCATTTTGTCACCAACAAATGAACAAGAAAAGCATATATAGCCTGAAAAGGGAATGGTACCACCACACCTATAACATTCCCTTCCCCTCTTCCCTTCCCACACACAGCGTATATCCATCCATCCTAATCAAAAGTGTCATTTTCTCCCACAGCTATCTGTCCCCAAACACATCTAATTAAAAGAGTACTATTAATATATATAAATGTTGTAATGGATTCATATTAATTAATTGATTAATTAAACATTAATTCAGATCTAGATCGTCCTCTTAATTGGAGTGCTAAATTAAATGGCATATGGTTAATTTCTTAATCCACCAAGTGGATTGCCGCACATTCTACACGGCACCTTGGATACTGAGTACTCCTCCCGGGAGTATTTTGATGCAATAAATAACTAAATAAATGCAACTATCCAGTCTTGCACAACTATCAAGGGATTAAATTTTGTCTTGGAACAGAACAGAGATGCACCTAAGCCAAAGAGAGGGCAGGCAAAGTCATACTCCTACTAACTCGTAGGGCTGTCAACGAGCCGAGCTCAAGTGAGCTTGCCTGTCTAGATACAAGCCTGATACAAGCTCTGAGCCGAGTCTATAAAATGTTTGAGTTTTCAGACATATTCGGTTCGAGCTTGACTACTGAGCTTTTAATTTTTAAGTAGAACAATGTATATTTCAAAGATAATTTTTAAAAAATAGTACATCATATTAATAGAAGAAAAAAAAATAAAATAAACTATATGACGCCAATACAAGTCATACAAATAATATACTCCTAATTTATTAAATAACAACAAAAATCATATATTAGTAGCTCGTTGGAAGCTTGAGGTTGGCTCAACAAAGCTCCACGAGCTTTGGGAGAGGCTCGGGTTCAGCTCGTTTGAAGCTCAAGTCTAGAACAAGTCGAGCTCAAGCAGCTTGCGAGCCTCAGAGCTTTTTTTTTTTTTTTTTGTGATAGCCCTACTTGCAAGAGCCTGAATCAATATAGTGCAATTATATCCTGGATGAATTGACACATTTCGATTTATCACGTTGCGTCGTTGTGGCCTGTGGGCCTACGATCCACAGAATTTGAAATGTGTAATCCTAAGGCAAAATTTAATCACCAGATTGGGAAGATGATCAGATCTAGATCGTCATCTTAATTTAAGTGCGGAATTAAATGGCATTTGGTTAATTTCTTAATCCACCAATGGGATTGCCGCACATTCTACAAGACACCTTGGATACTGAGTACTATTTCGATGCAAGGAATAACTAAATAAATGTAACTAGCCAATTACGATGATGATGCCGGCGACACGTGAGTGTGATACCAGCCGCCAGTCATATTGCTTTTTCCTGGAAAACCATTGCCCCAAGCTGTCAAGTTCACTGCTCTAGATTCTCCCCGGTGTGGTCAAATGGATAAGGGAGGGGTAAATGTGCTTAAGCCACATCTAGGGTTTTCAGTGAATTCCAGCTGATATCTATCGATTCGGTGACGCAGCTCGCCGGATTTGTAGAGTTCCTGAGAGAGATTATGAGACCAGAGACTGATCGTTTGTGGAAGTGGTGATGGATTTCCGTCCTTTCTCAACCGCACAACGAGCAAATTAAATCCGGGCGAACAAGCACCGAGTGATGGAAGGAGGGAACCACGAAGCTAATTAGAGTCCCATTGGTTGGTTTAATTAGTCAAAGCAAAAGCTAACACTCAAACTTAAATTTAATTTTAAAGTTGATTTTAAGATATTTTTAATATAATTTCTTTTTAATATTGATTTTTAAGTCGCTGCGAATAAATATAAAAAAGTTTTACTTATAAATTAATTTTTATTTCCTATTAAACCAAAATAACTTATGAGAAAAATGAGCAACCGATGAGGCTCTTGCAAGAAAAGGAGCTGCACAGATAACTTCGTGTCTTTTATAGTAGTATATTGCTAGATGGCAAGAGTGAGGCATGTTTAATCTGAAAGCCTCGAAACTACCGTATTATACTAACTAAGGTGTGTTTAGATTCAGGGAGTAAAGTTTTGGCGTGTCACATCGGATATTATATAGGATATCGTATGGGGTGTTGGGGCATTAATAAAAAAAACTAATTATATAATCCGTCAGTAAACCGTGAGGCAAATTTATTAAGCATATTTAATCCGTCATTAGCAAATGTTTACTGTAGCATCACATTGTCAAATTATGGAGCAATTAGGTTTAAAATATCCGTCTCGCAAATTAGTCGCAATCTGTATAATTAGTTATTTTTTAGCCTATATTTAATACTTTATACATGTGTTCAAACATTAAATGTGACGAGGTGTAAAATTTTGGGTAGGATTTAAACACCCCCTAACGATGATATTATTTAATGGGAAAGCGGTGCCGAAATAAAGGCAAACCCAACACAACACCAAAGCCAAAGAAATGCGCCGTCGATATGATAAGGTCCTTTCATCATGCACAAGGCGCTCACGCTCCATCTTTGCTTCAGAAGTCCCAACTGATGTTTATATTGGTAGAGTACGCAGCCCGGCTCATCAATCGTGGGCTATCCAGGTTATATTGGGTCTGCTCCACCACAGATCTAACCAGAGCAACAACTTTATCCCGAGCCTACACAACCAAAAAAAACTAGTCTGATGGGTGAGGACCGCCCACATTTTAAGTCGTGCTCCTCCATCATCAATTACCGATGTGGGACTAAACCTAACAATCTCCCCCGTCACATCAACCCATGTGACCCCGAAGACTTGTTATCCGACCTCCCCACCATATGACCAATAGAAATCGTTCCGGTTCCAAACCTGGGCTCTTATACCACTTGTTAGAGTGCGTAGCCTAGCCCACCAACCGTAGGCCACCCAGGTTACATTGGGCTTGCTCCACCACAGGCCCAACCGGAGCCACGCAACTTTAGGTCATGGGCCCCCACAACCCAAAATTGGTTATATAGCATCGAAAGTTCACGTTTTTTTTATTTTGTAACACAGAATCATTATAATATATTTTAATAATAAATTGAGAAAATATATATGCTATTATATGATAGAAAATATAATGATACTATCCGCGTAATTTGCGCGGACCACCATGCTAGTTGTAATAATGATAACTAATGCGCCGCTAATTAGGACAGACCGCTAGCGCGAGGGCCATGGGGAGCGCACGGCTGTAATAGTTAATTAAGCAGGTGGTGCGTGCCCACTATGAACCCCCTATACATAACCTGTATTTGGTTTTGTGGATGTTGTGCTTTATGCTACACGAATCTCAGAACATGTATGGACGGCTGGCATCAATGGCGGATTTGCCATGGTCGGCGGGGTCTCGATCCCCTACTACCGGCGTTGCAATCATGGGAGCCCCTATTAATAAGCCCTCACTAAAATTTGTTGCCATACATGTATTATAGGAGGGGGTTATAATTTTGTATAGTTTGTTCAGTCCCTACTATTAGTTCTTCTTGGATCCGCCCTTGGCTGGCATACTGCGTGTATAAAACCCGGTCCTGTTGATGAAGAAATAAAATCGATCCTTATTTGTGCTGTCGTGAGAGGAGAGGGGAGGGTTGTCAACCGTGAGAATTGCTACCTGCTGCTTACTCCCACTGCATGCCATGGCCGGATGGTAGCAGCTACCAGCTGCTGCTGTATCGGGGTAGGCGGATCACATTGGCAAGTTTGGTAGAGCTAAGAAGAGATGGCCGACGTCACGTTTGGCGCCGTGAAATTGGTGCTGGGCCTCATCCAGGATGAGGCCCGGCTGCTCAGCGGCGTCCGTGAGGACCTGCGCTTCATCATGCAAGAGATGGAGAGCATGAACAACGTGCTCCGCCACCTCGTGGCAAACAAGGGGAGTGCCGCCGCTGACTACCAGCTCCGTCCGTGGATGAAGCAGATCATGGAACTCGCCTTCGACTCCAAAAACTGCGTCGAGCTCTACACGCAGTCCGGTGGCGGGCACTGTGGTTGGCAGCCCTGGACAATGGTAGCTCGCCACCGGGTCGTCACCCGGATCCGCGAGCTCAAGATCCAGGCGCGCGAAATCAGCGAGCGGCAGGCAAGGTACCACATTGCTGGTGTTGCTCATGCCCAGCAGATGGACGCGACCACCACAATAGAGCGCTGGGATGCTAGTGTGCCCAACCAGAGTCGCGCCTGGGCCGGCAGCTCTAACAACCCATCCCGGCGTGCCATACTCCACGACGGCTGGTTTGGCGACTACATCAGCGTGGATGAGGCTCTCTCGCGGCTCAACCCGTTCACGCTAGACCGTTATGAGGTAGAGCCACCGGCGCGGTTGGACAGCGATGACGAGCAGCAGCCACGGCCTCAGTTGAACAGCGACGGTGGCAAGGAGCAGCCCCTAGCGCCGCAGTCGGATGGCAGAAACAAGGAGCAGCTGCCGCCTCCCCAATCCGGAGGCGGCAATGGCATCAAGCAGCAGCAGCCACTGCCTCCGCAGTCAGATGGAGGCGACAAGGAGCAGCCGCCTCCTTCGCTGTCGGATGGTGGCGACAAGGACCAGCCGCTTCCTCCCGACTGCGGCGTCAAGCGGCAGCTGCCGCCCCAGTCGGACGGTGATGACAAGCAGCAGCCGCCGCCCCAGTCAGACGGCAGCGATCAGCCGCCGCCGCCGCAGCCGGATGGAGGCGACACGGAGCAGCAGCCGCCTCAGTCAGACGGCGGCGACAAGAAGCAGAAGCATATTAGAGTCGTCACAATCAGTGTGCAAGACGGCACGGATGAAGCTGTTGCTGCAGAGGCCGTGATCGAGCGTTTCAAGAGCCGCTGGGCACGGCGGGGACTCTGGTCGCAGCAGCTCTGCCTCCACGTTTCTGTCCATCGGCCTCCGATTCTCTCGGAGATTACAAAGGTCATGGTTGAAAAGCTGAAAGAGAAGGAGGATGATGAGAAGAATGAGGCGGAAGACAGGGAGTGGCTTGGCCATAAATTGAAAGATGAAGATGTGCTGCTTGTTCTTTCCGGTTTTAATTACCCAGCGTTATGGAACCAGGTTCTGGATTTGCTGACCTCGATGAGCTGCTCTGACTGTGCAGTAGTACTCTGCACAAACGATAGTAAGATGGCAAAATATTGCTGCAGCAATGACTCTGCCAACGATGGGCCTCAGATAATCTACTCTCTCGTTGATATTTACCTCAACAGAGCGCTCGCCCTGCTTTCCCACAGCTACGGATACGAGGAAGGACACTTGAAAGAAATTCTGCGCAACATCCTCGCCAAGTGTTGCCTTGATGTCTTCTGCATGAAGATGCTCCTCCATGCCCTCTACTACAATCCTGACATGACGAAACACCAACTGCAGTTCCTGAATATAAGCCTTGGTAAAGAATTTACAGATCATGGGAGACAGGACCGAATAATGGCCTTCTGCTACCAAGCACTGCCAAATAGTTACAAGAACTGCTTATGGTATTCAACCATTTTCGCCCGTGGAAGCGGCGTCCGAAGGGCAAGTTTAATAAGACGATGGATTGCCCAAGGCTTGATAGCCCAAGTGAACCAGTCAAGTGCAGAGGACGAAGCCGGGCACTGTTTCGAAGCCATGCACAGCCAGAAGCTTATTGTTTCTTCTGGTCTTAGTGGTACACGCAAGGTAAAGAGCTGCACCGTGCATCCAGTAGTTTCTGGCTTGATCAGCAGGGAGTCTTCGACAGTTGAGGACCTATTGCTCAACAACCAGCTGCCACTTGACTTGGATCTCCTCTACTCAATCCGGCACGGCATGCAACTCCATCCGGCAAACTCTAATATCAAAAAGTTCTTGAACTCACTTTCCAGCAGTTCAAGGTTGCTGCTGACAGTACTTGATTTGGAAGGTCGCAAGGGCCTCAAGGCAGGCGACCTCCATACCGTATGCAAGATTCATAAACTCAAGTATCTAAGTCTCCGGAACACAGATATTGCCCAACTGCCCAAGGAAATAGGTCAGCTCAAGCTCTTAGAGACACTTGACATCCGAGGAACAAGGGTACAAGTGTTCCACACGGCGCTACCAATGCTAAAGCACCTGCTTGCTGGTTGCATTATTGACTACCCAAAGGAAGACATCATCAAGTCCAAGGAATCATTCTCCACGGTTTCCATGCCTCGTGCTGTTGCAACTATGGAAAAGATGGAGATATTGTCCCGTGTCAAGGTTTCGAACAGTGCTAAAGAACTGAACAACATTGGTGACAAGCTCGAGCACCTAAAGAAGTTGGGTGTGGTTCTATCTGGCAAGAAAGCTAGCTTGATAGATTTGTTCCTTCAGGTTGACAAACTCCACAGATGTCTTCGGTCCTTATCAATCCGAATGGATCCACCAGGTAACTGGGATTCTATTGATGTTATTTTATTGAGACCTCCAAAGCTTCTGGAGAGCCTACACATCTGCAGCATCAGAAGCGGGTTGCCTCCCAGGATCAAGGAGCTCCATCAGCTTGCCAAGATAACTCTACGTGACACCTTTTTGAATCAGGGTGCCCTCGATATACTTAGCATGCTCAAAGGCCTACGCTATCTCAGGCTTTGCTACCATTCATTCGCAGAAGGCGCTCTGAGCTTCGTGAAGTTTGTGGAACTTGTGGATCTTGTCATTGAAGATGATATTGTTAACAGTGTCGCCTTGGGTAATAATACTTATGGTGGAGACCCTGATAAACTTGAAAAGATAGTTTGGTCCTTCACTCACATGGAGGAGCTTTCAGGGGTCAGTACGCTGCAGAGTCTGACACACATCGAACTCAATGGGAGAACATGGCACCTACAGAATCTGGAAAAACTGAAAAGAGAAGTAGATGAATGTGGGATTACTTTCACGCTCAATCCACCTGAGAATGGCCAAGGATCAAGGCTGTAGGTGCTATCGTACCCCATAATCATCAATGCTGAGAAAGATGGAACTCCGTAATCCTGGGGAGTATTTCTAAATTCTACTACGGCTGCTTCTACTATGGAATAAAGATGTTTTTCCTCTTCCATCTGTCATGTTGGACTGGTATTGCACCTTTATGTTTCGAGTGTTAATGGCAATCTCATATTGTAATATTGTTTCCATTGCTTTCAGTTTGGTTTAGTTGCATCCTGCATTTTATTTCTGCATGTATTAGCTCACTGGAAGTAGTCCGGGGTTATCGGAATTCAGTTGAGCCGTTAATTTCATTTTCTGTTAGGATGCTGAGCTGATCACTCCAAATGTGGGATGTCACGATTTGGTGGATGGGCGTTTAATCAGCATGCTTTGCATGTAAAATCCTCCAGCTTTGGAGAAGAGCAAAACAAAAAAAAAAAGAAGGAAAAAACAGAAAATGCTGCAGCTTCACGCAGCACAAAAACTTTTGCCTTCTGCTTTTTTTTTCAGTTTCGTCAGACATTTTATTCACGCACCACATAATCGTCAATGCTGAGAAATATGCGGGTTGTATTAATTAGATTTATCTGCATCCAGAAGAAAACATGTACATTTAATATAGTGATTTGAGATTGCTTAATGTGCTTCTTTTTTTAATCCAAAACATGTTTTACATATTTTGCATCAGCGTGCAAACGATTGTTGGGCTGAGCAATTTCTTTGGACTTAACTTATTTCCCCACAAGACAATGAGCATTCTTGAGCCTAACGTACGCGTTTTGAAAACTTAACACCAGTTGCTAGTTGTCCATTCCTAGAATAAACTGCACAAGAGGAGTATAGAGGAAGCAAGGCAGCATATAGGCCAGCAGCTGCTACCAGTGTGTGGTTGTAGTTACAGCTGATAGTAAAATGGAATTGGTAATCAACCGAAGAATAGTCGCGCTTCCTAGCTATCCCCATTCGAGAGAGTTGCCACGAAAAGGGACTCCTACCAATTAATAGCAGAAGATTTGCAATTCCTAAAGCCATCTCGCACCTACTCCTATCCAAGTTACAGTTTTGCTGCCGCGCCATCGATCTCTCGCTCTCACCAGCAGAAAAGATAAGATAACATCATCCATTCGCTATCCCTCGCCAATCTAATCCCAAAAAGTGAAATCGCGACGTCTCGATGTTCAATTCGAAAAGCAGAACAACAATAATGCAGCTGAGACGAACCTGCGGTGTGCTTCCCCCCTTCTTTCGTCCAGCTAGGCGAGGTTCGACCCCGCGCGCGCGCGCTCGCGCAGCGCGGACCTCGGAGGCCCGGATCCGCCGTCACGGTGGGGGTGCTTCGCCGGTGGAGCTCGCCGCCTCGCCGGCGCCGCCGCCCTCAAACCCTTGCGCCGCCGGCCAATGCAGCCATCCTGGGCCCAAAACCGCCATGGATGACGAAAGGCGACAGGCCGAAGAACATTTGTTGGGCTGGCGGACGTGACGTAAGCGACGCCGGCCCACTTTTGGTCCTCCAGTCCTTTTACCTTCTCTCCTTTGTCTCGCCAACGCCATAACATCAAACCGTGTAAAAAAAAAAGCCAAACATCCAACCACAGCATTGATTTTATAATAAAATAAATTAAAATGGTTCGTGTCAGAGCTCCTCTAGCGAGGAGACAAGACACCCCTTTTGAGTTTGATTAGGGTGCAAGTTTTAAGCTCGGGTCACATATAAAGATTGATACAAAGAAGTATATAGATTCGGGTCGCATGGGTGCATAATACCATACTCCCATGTGCTCTCTATGGATGATCAAAGTGGTTATAATATAAAAATGATGAGATATTCTAAGTGAGAGAGGATGAGTCCTTCACTGAGTTTAAAGTTAACTTAGCTATTCTTAGCTATTCTAGTTGTTTGAATCATTTTCTCGGTGGCATAGATCCTCTTTTTATACGTAAAGGGAAATCCATACTTTTCGTCCTTTGTTTAATTAGTGCAGTGGAAAGTATCGTTCATTTTATATTAAGAATTTTAGAAACATTTCAACAATGGAGGTCTTTTGCAGGTCTAATGATTTCAAAGACTTAATCTAAATGAAATACTAAATTGAACCAACTGGCATTCTTGAATCCTAAGAAATGCCTCCAGGCCCGTTTCACACTCACGTCGGATTAAGTTTAAATACTAAATTAAGGCAATTTAAATATTTATATTTGTGAAGTGAGCGTAGCTTAACTGGTTAGATTCCTTGTGATGGAACTAATCCAGCCGAGTTCAAGTACAGACTTGACATGGATTCTCGTATTTACGATAAATTATTCTTACGTCAATGGCGAGGTGCCCTCTCCGATTCATGTATTTTAAAGGAACCCTTAGAGCAAGTACTATAAGGCCATCTCCAACCCTCCATATCATCAACCCATGTGACCCCGAAAACTTGTTATCCGACTTCCCCACCATATGACCCATAGAAATCGTTCCGGGTTCCAAACCTAGGCTCTTATACCACTTGTTAGAGTGCGTAGCCTAGCCCACCAACCATAGGCCACCCAGGTCACATTGGGCCTGCTCCACGACAGGCCCAACCGTAGCCACGCAACTTTAGGTCATGGGCCCCCACAACCCAAAATTGGTTATATAGCATCGAAAGTTCACGTTTTTTTTTATTTTGTAGCACAGAAAGATACTAGTTCACTTTAATAGTACCCAAAGTTCACCCCGTTCCCTTTTTTAACACTCCTGTCAATTCTGGATCGTTTTCCGTTCGCCTTGATCTATGTCAATTCTTGATCGTTTTCCGTCCGCCTTGATCGCTATTGACCCAGCCACGCACGCGATATGACGTTTCTACCCCTCATTGCCATGCATTCTACTTGTACTTGTGAGGGGTAGAACCGTCATATCGCGTGCGTAGATGGGTCAATAGCGATCAAGGCGGACAGAAAACGATCGAGAATTGATGGAAGTGTTAAAAATGGGAACAAGGTGAATTTTGGGTGCTATTAAAGTGAACCGATATCTTTCGGTGCTATAAAATAAAAAACGTGAACTTTCGATGCTATATAACCAATTTTTCCATGTCATATATGTGTAATCCCTCCGTCCCAACCGATGTTTGTATAAGGCCATATTTGGCCTAGCTCTAACTCCCAACTCCAACTTACCTAGAGCTAGAGTTGTGCCAAACAGTCCAGATTCTCTGTTTTTGAGAGTGGAGTTAGCAGAACTACTCCTAAAAACTGAACTACGGGGGTGGAGCTAGGTTTTTGCTGCTTCACAGCTCCACTCCAACCCAAAAGATCCACTACCGTTTAATTTTTTTAACATATTTACACAAAAATACCATTGAATTACCCCAAACCCATCTCTTCACCTCTCTCTCCCTCCCACCTCCCACCAGCTGGTGCCCAGGCGACGGGTCCATGGTGGTGCTCTGACGGCGTGGGCTGGTGGCACACGGCGGCAACGGACAACGCGAGCAGGGATGGCGCATGGGTAGCGACCGGCGGCCGGCAGCGCAGGCGGGACAACGCACGGGTGCACAGGCGGCACAGGAGGTGTGAGCGGGGACGACGAGCGGGCAGCGCACGGTGCCGACAGCAGCGGGCGAGCAGCGCACGACGCGAGCGGGTACAGCGCATGGGCCTCGTGCCGTCCGCCGCCGCGGCGACGCAAAGGCGGCAGTAGGTGGGGACGACGCACGGGCGGGGACAGGGCGGCAGCATGCGAGCGACGCAAGGGGAGCGCCGTGCGGGCGAGGACAGAGTGGCAGCGTGCGGACGACGCAAGGGCCGCGGCTTGCGGCCGGCGAAGGGCTGCGCACGCGGGGACGGTATTAGGGATTTTTTTTTGGTTTTTTTCATTTTCAGATCTGGAGCTAAAAGTTAGCCAAACACTTTTCAACTGGTATCTACTCCCACATGAGCTAGCTTCCACTGGAGTAAAAGTTTAGAGCTAGGAGATGGAGTTTGGAGTCTTATCAAACGGGGTCTAAGTACGATGTTGGTTTTTTTTAGAGGGAGTACGAGTTTTTTATTGGCACCCGAAAGAGGGATCACATACACAAAACATAGCCAGATTAGAAAAATAATTTCGTGTGGCATATGAAAGATGATTTACATAAAACAACATCAATGCAGAATATTCTATTAGCATATGAAACATAAATTATATTTTCAAAAAAAAATAATACATGTAAATTAAAAATCTTAAAATATACGCACCCTTCATATTATGTAAGGAGCTGTTCTATTCCCCCGAAACAAAAACACTTCCTGTGGTAGAGTTAGGATTCAATCTGCTGTTCAACTTAAGAAGAGTTGGGTTGGTTCGGGGTTTTGTCAACTGTGTAGCCAAATTGAGAATTCAGTTCATATTTGCTTTACATGCCCTTTTGCAACTTTCACCTGGTGTATTATGCTTTTGGATGGCCAAGGATTCCTCATGACTTTGAGGATACCCTTACCATGGTGGCTGGGGATGATAGTTCGAAAAAGGCTAGGATTAGATATATGTTGCTTGCTACGGTGTGCTGGATTCTATGGTCTGTTAGGAATGATATGATTTTCAGCAACAAACTCATCGCGACGCCTCTAACAATTCCTCTTTGCGTTGCAGTGGAAACCAATGCTGAAACCTGAGGAAGTTCCTACGCTGGATGTGACGGTGGAAGATGTGCACGATGACAATCTGCGACCGGCATGAGTAGGGGTTGGTTAGGTTGTGAGTCTGTTAGTTTCTCTGTTTTCTGTAGTTGTTCATTGTCGCCAAGGTCGCTGGTTGGCACACTTGGCAGCTGTGGCTGAGTTTTGTTGCTTTAAAGTTGTTCCCCTTTGGATGATGGTTCTCATGTTTTGCTACAATGAAAGCTGGATATCCCAGCAAAAACCTATGCAATCTCTATTGTTTTCTGTAAAAAACAGGGCCGTCTGGCCTCCTTTATAAAAAAAAAATATTTCATTAACTAGTACTCAGAAGAGTAGAATACTCCAGTATTAAGTACACTATCCATTGAGAATATATCTCAAGTACACTGCTCTAGACATAACACGTCAGGGCATGGTTAGTATTGGGTCTGCTCGGTTCAGCTAGACAGTGGCTGTACAGCCGCAGTGCTGCAGTTGTTTTAGTATAAATTTACTTGGTAGATCCTGTTGGTGTGGCTGCAGCGCAGCCACTGCTAGCTCTTCCGAACACAGCCATTGGGTACGCG